ACCATTAGAAAAAAAAATATGAATATCTTTTCGTCCTTGAACACAGACGCCTACAGTGGTGATAAACAAGCCGGGTTAAACCTTCTCCGATACGTTTCACAATTAGATTTTCATGGTGTTATAAAATACACCTTTGTCTCGGGGAAAACAATGTGGTGTAGCTGTGACGCGCCATAATATATAGCGGTTGTCCAAACTCACCTGGTCTCAGCGAAATAGATTGCATAATGTGTTTGCGTCATCAAGCAGTGCGCAATAGTGATTCTTCCCATCTGCATCCACAGAGAAAACTGCAACGTAATTTTAATTTGAATAAACATTTTTAGGATTGGTAAAGCTTGTGGTGGGATTATGTAATTGTTGTGATGCTAGCGGTTATGTTTATAGGTGGCGCTGGTGTAGGTAAAGGTGTTTGTGCTTATGGTGGCGCTGATGTTAGTGTTTATAGGTGGCGCTGGTGTTAATGTTTATAGGTGGCGCTGGTGTAGGTATTTATAGGTGGTGTTTGTGTTTATAGGTGGCGCTGATGTTAGTGTTTATAGGTGGCGCTGATGTTAGTGTTTATAGGTGGCGCTGATGTTAGTGTTTATAGGTGGCGCGATGTTAGTGTTTATAGGTGGCGCTGATGTTAATGTTTATAGGTGGCGCTGATGTTAATGTTTATAGGTGGCGCTGGTGTTAGCGTTTATATATATATATATATATATATATATATATATATATATATATATATATATATATATATATATATATATATATATATATATATATATATATAATAATTTTTTTTTTTTTTTTTTTACGGGGATTAGCCCACCGGGCACAGGTCAATGACCACATAGGGGTGGAAAAATAAGAATAGAAAGAAATTAAAAATAGAAAAGGATAGTTATATTAATCAACACAGAAAATGCCGGAAAACCAGCTTTTTAAAGTGAGACAGATTGTATGAGTATGGTAGAACAGGAGAAGGCAGAGCATTCCAGTTTGGCTGTGTGAGGAAGGAAGGAGGTACTATAACGGGTTATTCTCGTGACCGACATCCACAGAGAAACGGTATTCTTGCCGGCGGACACAGGATGCCAAATCCACCGAACATTGCCCGTTAAAGTACCTGTAAAAGAGAGAGAGTGGAGCAACATTGCGGCGAAGAGAAAGGGATGAAAGATTGTCAACTTAAGAAGGAGAGTTAATAAGAAGAGATGCCTTTGATTCCACCCTATCTAACAGTTGGACAGAAGAAGAGCCACCCCAGATATGAGAGCAGTATCAAGTTAGGACCAATGAATCCCTTATAAACCTGAAGCAACTGCTCAAGAGTGAAGTAGCTACGGCATCTGTGCAGCATTCCCAACTTTCGGGAGGCAGCTTTAGCAATGTTGAGGATGCGCGGCCTCCACGACATACCAGATAAAACCGTGAGGCCTAGCACATCCATTTCAGAACTTGGCAGAATGACAACGTCGTGAAATGCGATTGGTGGGAGACCACCCAATTTGGAAAGTGTAATTGGTAAATACTGAGTTTTATTACTATTGAATTAAACCAAGTTTCTACCTCCCCATTCGGAGATGCTGCACAGATCCGCATTGATAGATGTGAAGATATCAGCTCTAAAAACAGATCCAGCCTGAGAGTTAAGGGGAAGGGGAAATGTGAAGAAGAGTGAAGAGTAGAATCACCAGCGCAAGAATGGACAGAACCAGCTGTAGTGTGAAGTAAATCATTGATAAAAAGGAGGGAGAGAATAGCTGAAAGAACAGAACCCTGTGGGACACCACTATTGGTAGAGAAAGAGCGAGAGATCAATCCCTCGACAACAACCGCCATTGATCGGTTCTCAAAGAAGCTAGAGATTAGAAAACAAAGTGGGGAAACCATAAGAGGGAAGTTTAGATAGCAAAGACTTATGTTTATAGGTGTCATTAGTGTTTGTGTTTATAGGTCGGCGAGTATTTGTTCACATTGTGTAAGTAATGTTGTTGTCCCACGGCTTAGGGGAAGTTCAGGGAAGAAGTGTAGTATGGTGGAAAGCCAGTGAGGACGATGGTTATGTTTCCAGCTGCCATGAATGACGCTCCACTCCCAGACACAGACAATTTACCATTATTCAACAGTCTTCCTTTACTCTTGCTGTATGCTAATGTGAAGGTGGTAGATTATTCGTAATGGGTGGTAAATGAACTCGAAGTTAAAGAGAAGAAATATGAAGGTTTAAGTGATAGAAAATCGAAACTTATTAAACGGTAAGCCATTTATAAATTAAGTTGTTAAATTTACCGTGTGAGTTCATATTGATTGTTCGTAACTGTTAATATATGAAATATATAACTTATTACTACAGTCGAGACAGTCATTTTTCGAGGGGATACAGTACTAGTCTACTGAAATTGACGTAGGAGGAACAGGTTAGGTTAGGTTAGGATAGGATAGGATAGGATAGGATAGGATAGGATAGGATATCTAAATACAGGAATGACCGAAAGTAAAATTTGACCTTAATTTTCCATATTGTTATTGATGGACAAGTTTAATTAAGTTACGATAACAGTCTGTTGGCTGTTTACCGTTGTGTGTAGTAGGACATTTCTCTCTCTGATATTATCGACCACTAAACTAAATTTATGGGGAACATAAACTAAGCTTTGAGTCTGTAAACCTGAACTAATGATACTTAGTTTCACCTGGTGTATGATCCATTAAGCTCAACTCTCTGACGCTGGTACATACCTCAAGCAGCTGTTTTTCTTGGTTACATGTAGTCTTGCTTCAACCTTTATGGCTCGTGAATACCTTAGATATGTCACTTCAAACTCTAGGCATAATACCATATTTTAAACCACTCTTGACCTTCAGTAAATTTCCTCATAATACCCTATTAGCGCTACACATAGGTTGTAAATAGCTTTCTGTCCATATGTAGGTTAATACGCTGTTATGATGCCTGTGTAAGGTGAGGTTCTGGGAGGAGAGTTTGTGTCAGTGACGAATGGTAGTCTAGTTGATGGTGACTGTGGTGATTGATCTGTTAGTTAAGGAGCCTTGATTGTGTTACCTAAAACAATTATGTATTTGTTACTATGCTTTTAATGTATCAGTAACGAAATATAAGCGTATTATTTGACATGTATTTATGTATGGATGTATTAATGTGTTAGTAATTACGTATTAATGTATTTGTAAGTTGTGTTATTAAATTAGTTAATTCGTATTAATGTGTTGATGACGGTGTATTAATGTATAAGTTATTACGTATTGATCTATTAGTAGCGACGCAAGAGTGTGTGTGTGTGTGGTGCGGCTCACTCACAGCTGTCCCTCACGTCCACACATACACACACACACACACGTCATAAACAACTGCTCAATTCATGGCAGCAGTGCGGGAGGGAGACACGCATACTCATACTAACGATTTTCTTTTCTCCGCCTTTTGTATACGAGCGGTAAACTGCGTGCCATGGTCGCCCACACCCCTGCCTGCCTGCCTCTAGCCCCGTCCCTACGCCTTCCCCACCCCAGTCCCCACGCCTTCCCCAACCCACCTCCTCCCCATCCCACCTCCTCCCCACCCCACCTCCTCCCCCACCCCGCCTTCCCCAACCACCTCCTCCCACATCTTTCCCGCCCTCCTCAACGTCTTGGCCTCCTCCTGTACCCAATACCGTCTACCTCCCCCCAGGGCCCAACAGTCCTCTCTTCCACTACCCAACGCCCTCCCCTCCTCCTCCACCCAGGGCCCTTTCCTTCCTCCTCCTCCTCCATCCAGCACCCTCCCTCTCGTCCTCTACCACCACCACCCACCCCTCACCTCTTCCTCTTATCCTTCAGTCACACGCCCTCGTCAATATTGTTGTTGTTGTCACTCTAACCACCACCACCACCACTAAAAACATAGACACACACTCCCTCTCATATTTACCTGTGCTCTTCTCCACCTGTCAATAGCCGGGTGAGGTAGTGATCATGCCTAGACTTTATAATGTACGTCAACATCACAGGAGTTACCTCATATAGTTCTGAACACACACACACACACACACACTGTATGATCAAAGATCTCATTCAGTTGAGTCCCGGATGTACTTAATAAACAGGATAGTGTGTGTGTGTGTGTGTGTGTGTGTATATAATAATAATTAATAATTAGCGGTTTATTGAAAAAGTCGGCAGCCCGAAGGCTGAAAATATACTTTAGACAAAAATGACTTATTACATACAAAGACATGGGGTGGGTGGGTCGTTTAACAAAAGCTTTTATTACTAAAAGAAGAAGGAACAATGATTGAACATACAAATTATTATAGTTTACAGTTGATGGCCCGGGCCTGGGCTGGTCATGTAGACACCAGGTGGTGAGGTGTTCACGTGGTGTAGTAACTCGTCCTCGGGTGTGTGTTTAAAAAAGTCAAGCACAGGTCAAGCGAAAGGTCACACCAAATTAAGGTCAACTGCTATCGCCTCGTGGGAGTGGTGAGGTCAATAGGTCACGCTGGCTTATCTGGGGGAAATAAAGACTATTAATGAATGATTATCTGGCTTTATGTGGCTTAGGCGTTGGTAATTATGGTATTTAGTGGTTAATTATGAGTGATGGTATTAAAGTTTGGCCTTGGGTTTGTGATTAGGATGGATTGGATGAGATTATGTTTTGACGGTGAAAGAAATAGGAAGTAAAAGAGTTAAGAAGTATTGAGTCTCTCTCTCTCTCTCTCTCTCTCTCTCTCTCCTCTAACATGTTTAGAATCCCACCTGTAGAAGTTAAGAACCTTTAGAACACACGATAAGTTCTTCAGAACCTCATTTCTAGAGGTTTACCGTGGAGAACCTCACATTATATACGTTTAGAACCTACTTAAAAACCTTCCATTGTTTCACCCCGATGGATCACGTGTTACCGCTGAGGGGAGGAGGGGCCATGTTATCACCAGAAGGGGGGTTGGGAGTAGCGATAACATTTCCTGTACACTGTGTTCACTCTCGACGGAAAGGATACACACCCAGCTCACCAGTCGGCTTTCCTCAGTTACTTCACCGAGAGACTGACACACACTCTCTCTCACAACACCCGCGCTACAACAGTGTGTTATAAACCTTGTAATTATTGGTTATTATTTGTTGTACTGTTGTGCTTGATGATGGTTTAGTGAATTAGCGAACAGAAAGTAAATTAGGAGACTGTGATATATGTGTGGGCCGTTTCGTATCATAATTCCATTTCGTATCATAATTCCGTTTTCGTTTCATAATTTCATCTCGCTATAAAATACAGAACTATTAACACCCCCAAGACATGTTTATATAACTCGGAAGGTTATAGATAGACTGTGTATTGTGGAGTATAATTATTATTTAGATTATGACAGAGTGTAAATCCGTGTTATCGTGTGGTTTAGTAAGAATATTTACCTTGTGTCTATGGCTAGTGATAATGGAAGACATATTGGTGCGTTTCCATGGCTGCGATAGACATACATACATACATACATACATACATACATACATACACGGCAGCAACTGTGTATGTTGTAATTATTGAATACTATTTTCCTTTGTTATTGGTGTAATTATTGGTGAAATTTTTTATTATTCATTAGTGGTGTAATTATTGTATAAGATTTCTGTTATTACGTGTTGTTGCTGTTGTTGTTGTTGTTGTTATCGTATTTATATTTTCGTTAGTGATCAATATAATAATAATAATAATAATAATAATAATAATAATAATAATAAAGTTGCCACTAGGAAACATTTGTACACGTTGACTATAGGAAATATTTATCACGTTTTAAGAGCGTTTACACAATGTTAGTTCGTTATATGCGTGTGCTTGATAGTTCGTTATAAGAGATTACTGGAGTGTTTGTTGTTGAGGGGGATATTGGACTTTGTGAATATTGAAGTTTGAATATTTTGATTGGGGGGAATATTCTGGGAGTATGGGAATATTATTGGACTTTTGTTAGTGGCCGTATTATTATTATTGGACGTTAGTTGTTATTATTGGACTTTTTTATTATTATTGGACTTTTGTTGTTATTATTTGACTTTTTTTTATTGTTGGACTTTTTATTATAATTGGACTTGTTTTTTATTTGACTTTTGTTATTATTATTATTATTGGACTTTATTATTATTATTATTGACTTTTATTATTATTATTATTATTATTATTATTATTATTATTATTATTATTATTATTATTATTATTATTATTATTATTGGACTTTCAATATTATTTGTATGAGTAATTATTAATAAACACAGTGGCTACTATTTTTGACTATCTGTTAAGAGTGACTAATGACTATTCTTGTGTGTTAAATAATTAGTTACTATCCATAGGTGAGTAATAGGTAATCTTCCTATCCTTAAGCTTTAAATAACAAGCTTCGTTACTATCCATAGGTGAGTAATAGGTAATCTGCCTATCCTTTAACATCCTTTGAAACTAACTATCCTTACCATTACACTGTGCAACACGAATCACATCAGGTAGCCAATGGTATGTCAAGTTGCAAGCACGACAAATAGCTGTTGATAGTGAGTTTGCAATTGCCAGTGTGTGTGTGTGTGTGTGTGTGTGTGTGTGTGTGTGTGTGTGTGTGTGTGTGTGTGTGTGTGTGTGTGTGTGTGTGTGTGTGTGTGTGTGTGTGTGTGTGTGTGTGTGTGTGTGCAACTTTACTTTGTTGACAATTAATCTCTGGTGTTCATTGTAGCTTTGAGTGAATTTGTGTCGGTGTGTGTGTGTGTGTTTGTCTCTGTAAATGGAAGGATAAGTGTTGCGTGAAGGTGTATGTATGTACAGAGTGTATGTATGTATGTATGTATGTATGTATGCATGTACAGTATGTATGTATGGATGTATGTCAGTATGTATGCCTGTGAGAATGTGAGTGAGTTAGTGTGAGCGAGTGAGTGTGAGGGAGAGGAGTGGAGTGTGTGAGGAGGGTAGGGACAGTGTGGAAAAGCCAAGGAAGACACGATAAGATAGTGTGTGTGTGTGTGTGTGTGTGTGTGTGTGTGTGTGTGTGTGTGTGTGTGTGTGTGTACGGTTCACGGACTTGTAGATAGATAGGGGAGAGTGTGTCTGAGTGTTAGAGCAAGAGATAGATTGAGAGAGAGAGGAAAGGTCATTGATTGTATGAGAGAGAGAGAGAGAGAGAGAGAGAAGAGAAGAGAAGAGAGAAGAGAGAGAGAGAGAGAGACGATTCATCTCCTCACTCCCTCGGTCACCTGCCAAAACAACCATCGGTCTTAATTATAATTGGTGGTGGTAGCGATGGTGGTAGTGGTAGTAGTGGTGGTGGTAGTGGTGATGTTGGTAATTTTATTCATTGCAATAATATTAATAATAATACTAATAATAGTAATGTTAGTATTATTTATTAGGTAGTAGTATAGTAGTATCATCATCATCATTATTATTACTCGTATAAATCATTCACTAACATTCATGAAATACCTACAGTGAAGAAATTGAATGTACTGCCCCCCCCTGTCTCTCATTATCGTTCTTATCTATCTGTTATCGAGAGGACGAGCCACTTACCTTGTCCAACCCTTGTCAACAACTCGTCATAAATTTAAGTTGTATGTTTATATCCAGTCAGTGACATCTCTGGGGAGGGTGGGGGGAGGTTAGTGGGGTTTATTTTGTAGGTGGGGAGGTTAGTAGGGGTTTATTTTTTGAGGGTGTGGTGGGGAGGTTAGTGGGTTTATTTTGTGAGTGGGGGAGGGTTAGTGGGGTTTATTTGTAGGTGGGGGAGGTTAGTGGGTTTATTTTGTAGGTGGGGAGGTTAGTAGGGTTTATTTTGGGGTGGTGGGGGGAGTTAGTGGGGTTTATTTGGGGTGGTGGGGAGGGGAGTAGGACAGGAGGGAAGAAGAATGGAGGGATAGAAGGAAAACAAAGAGGGGAAGGAAGGGGAAAGAAGAGGGTAGGAAGGGGAATGAAGAGGGAGGGAAGGGGAAAGAAGAGGGAAGGAAGGGGAAAGAAGAGGGAAGGAAAGTGGAAAGAAGAGGGATGGGAAAGAATAGGGGAGAGAAGGAAAATAAGAGAGGAAGTAAGAGTAAGGAGAAGGGAAGAGGACCACAGTATCTAAAAAATATCAGAAAGGATAAACCATTTACAAACCTAACCTAACCTTCCCTTCCCTTCCCTTCCCTTCCCTTCCCTTCCCTTCCCTTCCCTTCCCTTTCCTTCCCTTCCCTTCCCTTTCCTTCCCTTCCCTACTAATTAAACATACAAGTACAAGTTGCAGGTGTACAGGAATCAATTTTGTCACCTCATCAAGACAGTTGAACAAGAGCACCACCACTACTACTACCACCTCAGGTAAACACAGGTGCATTAACATCAGGTAAAGTGAGTCAGCAAATTTTGTCGGAAACGTAAAATAGCTGAAGTTTGTTGACAATATTGATAGTTTTTGTTATGGCGGGGGGGCTTATAACTGTAGCTATAATTGACTAAGGTGTAAGTTATGATGTGGATTATAGGTGGAGTAAGTATGTCTGTAGGGTATAATTGGAGTTATAGGTGGAGTTAGTATGTCTTTAGGGTATAATTGTAGTTAAGATGTGAATTATAGATGAAGTAAGTATAATTTGTTGACGTAGGATGGTGTTGCCTTGAGCCTAGAGGTGACCGGGGAAATTATTGTTAAATGATGGTGTACTGAGTGTGGTGTTTGCTGGGTGTAGGTGTTGGTTTGGTGTGGTTTAGGTTTGGTGTGGTTTAGGTTGGTTTAGGTTGGGTTTGGTTGGGTTGGTTTGGGTGGGTTGGTTTGGGTGTGAGTTGGTTTGGTGTGGGTTTGGGTGAGTGTGGTGTGGTATGGTGTGGTGTGGTATAGTGTGGTATGGTATGGTATGGTATGGTGTGGGTGAACCAGATGGGGGTCATATTACCTGGGTGGGCACGTGATGGTTGCGTTATCCGATGAGGTAGATGGTGGTGGACTAACTGCCCAGGCGCTCTATGCCCCCCCAGTCACTCGCTACTCTTCCAACAGAGGTGACAGTCATACCCTCCGCCAGTTGACAGTCACACACGACCCTCCAACAGTCACTCTTATCCGATCGAACTGACAGTGATCCCAAGTGGCGTAAATGACTGTTGAAACTGTAAGATTGTTACTTAAGTGTTACTCCTGCAGTTAACTCTCAAGTGTTAGGATCAAGGAACAACTTACTACTAATGCGCATGTGATTATTCATTTGATATACATGTTTTTGTTTACTCTGATTAACAATATCAAAACTGTAATGCGCATTTGATTATTCTTTTATTGTTTTTATTTAGTCTCTCTTGAATGTATATAACTATGTGTGTTAGGAGTGTTTACAGCGATAACTTGCACCCATTGTAACTCTCAAGGGTCGGCAAGCCTCCTGAAATGCGAAAACTAATTAAACAATGTAAACAGACCAAAAAAGGCGAGATTATTAACATCAATATCAAGGTTTTAAGGTTAATATACAAACACATTAACTCTGTATCATAAGTATTGGTTTTTTTTATTCTTATTTCCACAAATTATAACTAGAAAAACTCAACCTTGAAATTCGTATGTGAGAAATTACCCTCAAAGTGATTAGTAGCTTTAATTTAGTTACGTTCAGGTAGTTTAGGTCGTTTAGTTAGTTTTCGCAGTTTAGGAGGACCGAGTCAAATGTGGGGGGTGCTAGGGTGTGTTGGTCGTGATGTGTGGTGAAGGGGGGGGGGGCACTGGGCTGTGTTGGTTGGTGATGACAATAACAGAGCCATGGTGTGTATGTGTGTGGTGAACTTTACAGCGAGGCGCGGGAACTATGATTCATGTACACCTGAAGCCTCTGTTCATTACCTGTTAATTAACTCATCAAATGACATTATCTTTTCAATGTATTTCATATTTATTAAGTTGAGGCTCTTTTGACAGGTAACATAATACGGTGGTAATAATAGCTGTTTGGTTAGGTTAGGTAAGGGAAGGTTTGGTTAGGTTTGGTTTGGTTAGGTTAGGTTTGGTTTGGTTATGACGTAATGTTAGGTTAGTGTTTGGGAGGATAGGTTTGGATAGCGTTAGGTTAGGTTAGTGTTTGGGAGGGTAGGTTTG